ATAATAGAAACTATATTATGACACTATATATTTAATTATTAGTGAGTAATTTGTGACAACGTAATAAAACTATATTTTTGTCGTCAAAAGTGAATAAATCATGATAAATTTAGATGTTTTTATTTGAACACAGTGAAAATTTGTTGTTTTTATACACGGTCAGATTCTGGTACCGACCCGTGAGAACAGATGTTCTGAAGCTCTGGAGTAAAAACAGTGACTCAGCAGTTTTTAAGGTAACGGTGGAGCTGGATGAACTCTTTAACTCTGGTTATTTAACCATCAGGTTCACTTTATTTGTCTGTCCTGAAACTCAGGAGCAGAACCGGGCCGGGCCCGGAGGATCCGGTGTCTGACTGGACCTGCTCATCATGACACAGATCAAATGTCTGCTTTCAGCTGACAAACAGGAAGTAAAGTTACACTTTATTCCTGTGGTCCAGAGACGAGCAGAACCTCGGTTCTGAGTATTTATGACCCGACTCTGTCAGTGTTAACGTTTGGTTCCAGCGCTGACAGTCGGGTCGGGCTTTTTCTGAGATGGGCTCCAGAGCACCAGAACCTGGGTGGGGTGGGGGGGTGAATCCCAGACTAATCCCAACATAATGCTGATCTTTAACGTCTGGTTTGTGTTTTCTGCAGAACCAGAACCTTTGGATCAAACATGAAAAACAGATTTTTGTCTTTGCTTCTGCGGTTCTGTTTGGTTCTGTTTGGTTCTGTTTGGTTCTGTTTGGTTCTGTTTGGACCTGCAGCTCCATGTTTCTTAAATGATCAGAAAATAATTCAGAAAGGAGAAATTATTATTTAAGATCAGTTTAATCCAAAACTTTCATCGTACTCCAAACTGTACGGGCGCTTTAAACCCAGTGGTGGACGTTTGGTCCCAGTGTGGAACCAGACGGTTCCATCATTCAGAACCTGTACATGTCCTGCTCACCTGTCAGGTTATCTTTATTTACTGTAACAAACAGCTCATCTTTAATGTCAACAACAACAAGTCTGGGAACTAAAATAAAGACAGTTTGGATGTGAAGTGACCAACGCTGCAGAGACATGAAGAACTTCTTCAGAGGACTTCCTGAGATCATCCCTCTGATGCTGGAAACCTTCAGTGATATTTTGCTAACACATCAGCTTTGCTTCGTAGACTTGGTGTTTATTAAGAGCTGCATTTAAACCAAATAAACCAAAAGATGTGTCTGATCAGCCGGACCCCCCAGGAACTACTTCATCCTCCTGTTGGTGAGGAAAACAGATGGTATATTTCTGCTTTCAGTGGTCCAGTACTGGTCCAGTAGTGGTCCAATCATGGTCCAGTAGTGGTCCAGTCATGGTCCAGTAGTGGTCCAGTACTAGTCCAGTAGGGGTCCAGTCATGGTCCAGTAGTGGTCCAATCATGGTCCAGTAGTGGTCCAGTCATGGTCCAGTAGTGGTCCAGTCATGGTCCAGTAGTGGTCTAGTTCTAGTCCAGTAGGGGTCCAGTCATGGTCCAGTAGTGGTCCAATAATGGTCCAGTACTGGTCCGGTAGTGGTCCAATTATGGTCCAGTAGTGGTCCAGTCATGGTCCAGTAGGGGTCCAGTCATGCTCCAGTAGTGGTCCAGTACTAGTCCAGTAGTGGTCCAGTCATGGTCCAGTAGTGGTCCAGTACTAGTCCAGTAGGGGTCCAGTCATGCTCCAGTAGTGGTCTAGTACTAGTCCAGTAGTGGTCCAGTCATGGTCCAGTAGTGGTCTAGTACTAGTCCAGTAGGGGTCCAGTCATGGTCCAGTAGTGGTCCAATAATGGTCCAGTACTGGTCCGGTAGTGGTCCAATTATGGTCCAGTAGTGGTCCAGTCATGGTCCAGTAGTGGTCCAATAATGGTCCAGTACTGGTCCGGTAGTGGTCCAATTATGGTCCAGTAGTGGTCCAGTCATGGTCCAGTAGTGGTCCAATAATGGTCCAGTACTGGTCCGGTAGTGGTCCAATTATGGTCCAGTAGTGGTCCAGTCATGGTCCAGTAGTGGTCCAGTAGGGGTCCAGTAGTGGTCCAGTCATGGTCCAGTAGTGGT